GGGCCGGCCGGGGCGCCCGCTGTCCCCCCGCCCGTCGGCCGGCCCCGGGACAGGATCCCGGCGTAGTGGAGAAAAAGAAAATCCTCTGGCCTCTGGGCCCGAGAGGAGGCTCGCAAAAGCACGGGGGGGTGGGGGGACAGGGGATCGGAGGGCTCGTCGCCTCCGTCCGGGAGTCCCCGTGTGCGTGTCTCTCGCTTGACATTTTATACCCGGCCGCGGCCGACTTGGAGCCGGGTTGCCCGTCCCAGCCCTGAAGTTCTGTAGGTGGGGCGGGCTTTAATTTGCTTATATCTAATGATTTCAGGAGCCTCGCTTTAAAATGGCGGCATTCACTAGCCACCCCTGCTAGAGGCTCTCCCGGCACCGGGGCCACCTCGCGCAGCGCTGCTTTTGCTTCTGCCGCTAACAGATGGCATGTGCCGCTGTCGCTGCCGCTGCCCCCGCCGCTGCCGCTGAGAGCGGGACCCCTTAGCCTCTGGGTTGGCGCTGGCAACAGAAGGTAAGGCTGGCTATGAGTTGGGGTGGGTGAGAGTGGCTGCCTTCCCGGGACGCCAACTAAATCCGATGCCTTTTAAACTTTCTTTTTCAAAATGGTAAATAGAAGGAAAAGTAATTCTGCGACTTTGGCAATTTTAGGGCTTTGATCTTTCTTTTGGTTCTGCTTCCTTCTTTTTTTCTCCCCTACTTTCTTTTTCTTCATCTACTTCATATATATAGATATATTGATATCTATATATATGTATCTCTCACATATATGTAATATACATTGTAATTTAAAGGAACTTCTTGCATGACGTATCATCACCAAATGCTTCTAGCCACTCGTTTCCCTGTGGCCATGCGACATCGTGGGCAGTGCCACAGCCTTCATGCAGAGCTGTGTTTCTTCCCGCTCTCGGTCAGCGCGTTTGGGCAGCTAGCTTTTACTACCGGCGTCTGAAGGGCCTGCAGGTAGATTTTAGGAGACTATTGACAAGGAGACTTTAATTTTTAGCATTCACAGGATAAGCTTTTATGGTAAGAAAATGAAATTCAATCAAGATGAGCAACCCAGGTTAACATTTAGGTGATTCAACTGTGTAGTTTTATCATTAGCCGACCTACTGTGTGTTTTTGTGTCTCCTGTCTATTGATTGGTATAGATTGATACAACAGCGAGGGTGAGTTTGTTGTTGCTGTAATTAAGAGTGTGTCTTCCAGGAGTTCCTTTTGCCTGAGACGTTCCTAAATTCCTGGCGTTTATAAGCTGGGCATGGAGCCCCACCGCCTAACTCTCCACGTGTATTCAGTTCATGGGAAAGCACCGATTAAAATGAAGCTATCTCAAGGTTTAACTTTGAAATGACTGCTAATTTTTCACTGTGTTGACTCCTTGGTTTAATAAGTCTTTTGGGGGGGATTACTGATATAATGGTTGGAAAGTAGGGGGGCGTTGCTGATACAATGGTTGGAAACTGGACTATCGAAATAGCTGTACAAATGACTAGACATCAGTGCTCAGTTCATCCGAGTTTTTCCCTCTGGTGAAAGGCATATTGACAATAAAGCTTACCTGAGACTTCAGATTTTTCTGATTATATTCATATTTTCCATTTTGTCTATGAAAATCTAATCCTTAATGTTTAAATACTTTTTAAAGTTGTTTGGAAAATGTTTCTCAATATGTAATACTTTGGTGGAATGCTTTCGTATTTATTGAAACTTCCCTAAACAGAGCCTTTTAAAAGGGCTTCTGCCCACGTAGCTGATATTGTTCTACCTCTATCCACTTTTGACTTTTCCCAAAGCAGTAGAAGCTACCTGGCAGGCAGATTCTCCTGTTATTAAATTAAGCAAGCTTCTGGGGAGTGGCGGGGGAAAGAGGTTGTTTTGCACCTACTAAAAAATGGTGCAGTTTTCCTGCCCATGTGCTGTAGTGTGCCTGCAAAGAACTGAACTGTTTACAGTGGAATTGGCTGTGTATGATAAGTTTTGCATCTGGTTTTCAGATTATTGTTGGGAGAACTGTGTGGGGCAGTTTATTGCTTCACATCTGAAAGAAGAATTCCTGCAGGTAAAGCAGTAGATAGGAGATACGTGCATTTTTGCAAGGGAGCGGGGCGGGGTGGGGTGGTGTGTGTGACCAAAAGCAGCTTCTCTCGTTTTTAGTGATTACATACTTGGCTTCCAGTTCATTAAGCGTTGCTTCCTCCTGTGCTGCCTTGTTGCTGAGTGATTTTGGACCAAGTGCATCCTTAAAAAGCCGGGAGCGGGGTTGACTGAACCCTGGGGCTAGAATGGACAAGCTAAACTAGTGGCAGAGACATTAGGACGAAATTTTGACAGTTAACGTTCTGTGGCTTCATATAGTGATGAGTTTGGAGACTGTGTATGAAAACAGAAGAGAAGGAGTTTGTCAGAAAAAAAATATTTTGAGAGAGTTGATCTAGTGCTGGGCTAGAGGTGGTGACTGCATGTTTTGCTCTACTTCTAAGAGCTACTTCATTTCTCTAATTTCCTTTGCTGCTTTAAGCATTCATAATGATTCCCAGGACTATTATAAAAATACCTTTTCTTCCTCAACTGTCCACTCCAGACGTTTCACAACAGCTGCTTTTTAAGGGGGTTGAAACCTATGATTATGAGCTGGTATCCGGATTCTCTTTGATAGTCTCCTGCCCCCACCCTTTCCCTAAGCAATGCTTTGCACAGATCTAGGTGCTTAATAAATGCTGGGCTAAAAAGAAACATGAATCATTTGTAAACTCACAGAGGAGCAGATTTTGTGCACAGTTTTTTAAGTTAAACAGAAGAGTTTTTTGTGCTCTTGCAAGAACCTCAAAATTTAAAGTAGATTAGAGTGTACATTCGCCTAATTGCCTGCATTCTGTTTGCCTCAAATGGGTTCTCCTGCATCTTGGAGCACTCCTAGGCACTTGTGTAATTCTTCCTTTTGACCAGTAGGTGTGTTATCATCTGTCTAGCTCTACAATATGAAAAAGTAATCACAGCAGCTGGGGGGGAAGAGGTTTTGTCTTTGGAGGCTGTATAGTACTGCACATGCTGGAACAGTGGCCGTGTCTCGGCTGCTGTGCAGATGCTGACAATATTGCGGGAAGTACGGTTTTGTTCCCCGCCCAGCTGTCTTTATATGTGAGAGGGAAGGGAAGGAAAGAAGAGGGTGAGAAGCCCCGAAGTGACGACGATTTTCCTTCCTAGAAATGTACACTTATCCTGCTTAATAACACAGTAAATTCAGAAAGGTGGCAGAATTTTTCCCTTTTGAAATAAATCATGTTGTCTAAAAGGCTTACCAATAGGGACTGTGGCAGAGCAGACAAGAATAAATTACAGTATATGTTTGACAAGTAATTTGATCCTGTAATTAAAGTTAGATAATGGTCCCTGCCATGTTAAAACTATCAAGTGTCTGAAAGAGCACGCAGGCTACCCTCACCTTCACTTCGTTAAGGTGCTTCCATACAGTTGGGTTTTCGTATAACAGGGTCTAGGAGGACCAACAGATGGATTTTCTCCCATTATAACTGGATGTGATGTCAAGAACATAGAAATGAGAAGTGTTGTTTCTTTGTGGAATTTGTCTGCCTCTCTCCCTACGTGTGACACAGTTCTCCCCTCAAAAATAGGAAGACAACCTGTGCCACCTATAAAATGAGGTGGGCATTTTTCCCTTAAGAGAATAAACTGGGAGCAAGTAGTTCAATTGCCAGCCAACCAAACAACAAACACACATTATGACCAAAAAGAAAGCAAGTAGATCTGTATTAATGTGGGCTTTTAGGTCTTAAGGAAACTAGATGGTTCTGTGGCATCGTTCTCTTCTCAAATGGTCAAATAGTGCCTCAAGATAGCCAAATGACAGTGTTGGAAAGGCAACTTTGAGAATTTGGATTAATAAGATATCAATTACGTTATCAGGTGTTAATGACATCCATGCGACCTAAAAGGGATCAGAAAATTTTTTCTCAGCTCATTGTAGTAAAGATACAGTATAAATCCATCAGTTAGTTCTTCTTGGTATTCAATTGAGTGATGGTGTTTTCAAAAGAGTGATGGGGAAATAATGCAATCTGGGAGGAGGGACTTTATTTTTATTTTAGAAATAAAGTTACTCCCAAGTTGTCTGGGCACATACAAGCATACTGTTGCACACAAGTGTGCAAATTAATCTGCATTTTAGAACAATTTATATAGCCATCTGTTGATTTATTCCTGGAAGATTGTAGAAAGATACCTATTTTTACTGCAACCCTGCAATTCTAGGAATGAAAGGAAAAAAAGTTTCACAATAAACTATAATAAACATTTGTATTAAGCGATGTCTTTTTGAGGCTAGATAAAAGAGCCAGGGCTCTGAATATTCAACTCCAGGCAGTTAAGTTTCACAGAAAGGATACATTGATCAGAACCCCAGAGGAAGCAAGAATGAAAGGAAGCTTGATTTAAACATGTCTGTGTGTGTGTGGTGTGTGTATGTAAGTGAATATACACAGTGTGTGTGATTGTAACGTATACATTGTATATAACATGTACATTGTATATATTCGCACACATACATATGTCACGCACATGTCTGTGTGTGTATATGTATATTTTTCTCCCTCGCTATGTATATGATACTTTTCAAGAAAATCAAGCATGGATTTAATCTCAGAACTCTTTGTAACAGCCATGAATGAGAACACAGTGTTAAGGGAAAAGGAGAGCCTGATTAGAGATTTAGGAATCAATTAGGCATGCTTGCTAAAATATTATGTCCACTCTCAAGTCCTTTGTCCATCAGCATTAAGTTGGCTCAAAGTAGCGGTGGTTTCTTTCTGACATTAGCCAGGAGTTAGTTTTATGCCCACACAGTGGGTGAACTTGAAGAGCCCAGAAAGAAAGGGCCTCCAACTGGACACAAATTTGGGAGGTGGGCACTAGACTTCCAGCAGGCTCTGTGATCTCCTTAGGTCCGGGGAGTGTCCTACAGACTGACAGTTTGCTGGATCTTGTTTTCCAGCTTGGATCCCCCACATTGGCTTAAAATCGTCCCCAACAGCTATTTTAAATCCCAAGCTTCTAAGCATTGCCGGCAACTGGTGTGGAAATTTGAGGAAGATTTCTTCAGGCTTATTCAAGAATCCTTGAATTGTACGAATAACTCCTTTTTCAGTCAGGTTACTGAAACTCCTGACCTCATATCCCCAGGGCCTGGCACATAGCAGGCCGTCAGTAAAAGCTGGTTAAATAAATGGAAGAATAAATTAGTCTTTCTAATTTGCTCTTTTATTTTATGAATAGCCTTCCTGTGATTTCACGTAGCATTATCTCTTTTTTTAATGACCAAAAAATAAAAATCAACAACAAACAGACTGAACACTAGGTTGACTCTCCTGCCGGAGGCCATGGTAGCGGCCCTCTCACAAGTTGGGGAAAAGCGAGCATTGGGCTGAGACCTGGAGGAGTCGCCTGACAGCCAGCTGCTCTTTTTCTGTCACCTGTAGTTGCATCTGGTAG